CACCCCTTTCAGAGACGTGTCATTTCTAACATCAAGCTAATCTATATGTTGCCATGGCATCACCCTTTATCTGCCTTTGCATCTTATGAACTGCATGGATTTACCACATTATTTTTATCTGAAAGACAGAAAATGGTGGTTTTATTGCCATACAATCAGATTACTGCTGCTAGTTTCTCTATGCCTTTTTACCATACTTCAATCAAAAGGGATCAGTTTCTTTATACTCTGCCCTTGATTTACATTACATCTGTAAAGACCTAGTCTGGGTTGTAATCCCCTTATTAACTATGACCAGGGTTGATTTGCCTAAAAATAAAAGCAAATTGTGTCAGACCTTTTCACTTTGTTTTTGATTCGGAACTACAAAATGGATTACACTACAGAAATCTTCAGAGTTCACACGGCCGGTATAGTGCTGAATTTAAAATGGGAATTAAACAAGTTAAACATGGGAGCTGTGTCAACGGTTTACATTTTCCATCATGGGAGAAAGGCTGAGCTGCGTTTGTCTTTGTGTTCCCCAGCTTTAAGGAGACAATGAAGCCACAGGAGTTTTTCCAAGCTCTTCTGACACCGTGGTCCCTTTGCCATCCTCCCTTCCTCTGCTTTCCAGGCAGCTCCCTCCCAAACTCCGCTCCCCCGCCACTCCCTTCTCCCCTCCGCCCCAGAACCGTGCTCTGCTTGAAAGTTTATAGTTCCACGGCACTGCATATTTTAATCAAAATATTTCAAGCAGTGTAACATTCCTATTTAAGTTTCCACAATGCCTCACAAAGAATGAGCTCATAAGCAAATCCATGTAGATTGTATGATAAATGACCTGAAAAACAGGTTCCTTTATGTCAGCAGTCAAGGCAGGCAGACATAAGGCTCACATGAATAACATTTTAATCACTACTTTTTTTTTTCCCCCCCTCAGAAGAACACTTTCTTCTCATTTGCAATAAGCAATTTCAAGTACTGCAGGTTGTGTGACAGAGGCAGACCAGATCCTTGAAGAAGCTGCTGTGCAGGCCTGCAAGGCCAGTATCTGTGCCAGAACATCACCACCATCACTTCAGGCCCTCCACCACCTTCCCACTGCAGGAATCTCGGATGAATCTGAGACCATCCTAAGTATCACACCTCAAGCAATGAAAACAGGAAGGAGGAAGGGAGAGAAAAAAAATAAAAATAAAAAAAAAAGAGGGAAGGAGGTGTGTGGGAAGACAGAACTTTGTGATTCTAGCTTGACTTTTAGTCACTGACTTTCTAAAGGCAATTACTTCATTAAACAAAGTGAAACAATACAGCACAGCTTACAGATAACATACTTTACAATAATTGCTATAAGTCATATAGCAATTATACTGCACATATGAAAGGCTGGAGAAAATAACCAAGTGAAAAAATTCGGCTGCCAGCTCATTCTAAATTCATTTTGCTAACTCACTTGTCTTAATACCTGGCTACAAACACCAGAGATATCAAATGGACTGGAGGCCACCACTCACTGCTTGTATTAGTGTGCCAAGTGTCAACAGCTATGTTTTGGGTACAATTTAGAAGCATGTGTTTAAATCGTTTTAGCCTTCCACTCCTGTTTCTTCAGCTTGAAGCTGCAATTGTTGAGGTTAGAAAGTGCACTCCCATGACATTCGACTCCCAAATAAATTCTTGTCTAGCAAGAGGCTACCAAACATGTTGTGAGATATCGTTTTAGCAAGCTCTTTGTGCTTCGCCGGGCTCACTTGTCCTGTGGAACAAGGACTGTCCATTACCTACAGTTTATCATCCTGACAAAATGTGAGGAATGTGGATGTGAAAGCACTAACAATTCCACCCCTGGTGCTTTCTCCTTTTTTCTCTCTATATTAAAACCGACAAGATTAACCCAAATGCAGACTGCAGAGCATAGTTCAAGGGGCTATTCAATCAGTAGTGAATGTGCATTTGTTTACCTACAAAAATAAGAATTTCAGATACAATGAGCAGCAGACTAGTCTATATGCCGCTGAACAGACCATTTAACAGGGTCATCAATTGTAGTTTATTTTATTGGTTTCTGACATCTGAGCATACATTCAGAGATGGACTGTGAAATATCCCATATATAATTGGTTATCAGAGATAGAGAAAAATAGCTATGTAATCTAACTTAATCAGTGTCAAATGCAGCAGTTCTGAGGATAAGCTACCACATGTTACCAAGGAGAACTGCTTCGCTCACCAACCTATGGCACGAAAGGCATAGCAACACTGAGACAGAAACAATGGGTTCTGAATGAGATTTCTCTGAGGTTTGACTGAAATGCACTCCACAGTGCTATGCTCCATCATACATTTCAGAGGCAGCACTCAGCGCCTGGGAGGTGTAACAGAGGAAATCTATACACATTGTTTATCTTGGCAGAAACGGCAAAGGCAGAAAGTCCCCAATTAAAAACTACCAACAGGAATTAAATGTACAGAATACGTTTTTTTCACTGTACTTTCAATATCATGAAATCTACTGTTGTTCAAATGAGAAGTCTGTAACACCTACAAACGCATCTGTAACAATGACACTTAGCCTCCCAAGCTATAAAGTCACAGGTATAATTATCTTGTGTGTGTCACTTAAATACACCTCCTGTGATTGGGCTGAGGCAGTGAAAGCAGAGCTCTGGGAAGGGAGAAAAGCAGGAGAGCAGGGCAGGGAAGTCTGTGTTCAAACAGCTACCACAAGCTCTCAATCCCTGCCACCTGCTAGAAATTACAACCTCTAAACTTCAGTGCAAAACCAATTCAGTTTGTATGTTCACCTTAACCTAAAATTTATTATTTCTTACTTTATATTAACCTGACTAATAACTTCTCCCAGCATTTAATTGCCTACCTGTTCGGCAGATTTATGCACTGAGGCTTTCAATGGAGTTAAATGCATAGCTTCCCTGAATACATTAACCAGCACTAAAGATAGTTATTATTTTGAGCCTGGAAAGGAGCTTTATTATGCTATGCTGAGATCCATTCAGCAGCTTACTTCTCAAGCAGCTTGAATTCCCAGTGAAGACAACCTGTCTAAGGAGAAATTATTCAGTATCCTTCAGGCAAACAATTGTGACAAGAATTAGTAAGAAATCCTGCTCCAAGAAGTGGAACTGTCTCACCGGCAGCAATATCGGTAATGCATTTGTAAGCTTCCTCAAAGTAGAGGCCTCCGAGTGGCCTATAAATCACTAGCCCCAGCAATTGAAAAGACTAATTTTAATAGTGTACTTCTTCACTGTGGTGATTAAGCCTCAATGAATCACTCAAGAAAACTCAATTACATCAACAGCAGAACCTATTTTTAAGCATGCATTTAAGTTGAAAAAGTGATTAGATATTATCATTAGATCTACCGTTAACAACATTCAAGCAAAAAAAAAAAAAAAAAAAAAAGAAAGCAGGTTGGAAACGGAACAGCTGCAAAGGCCGGAGCAGCGGCTGTTCTGTATTGGAAGAGTGACCTCTGTAGGAAAACACCGCGTACAGGGTTGAGGAAGCACAGCCTCCCCCTTCCTGCCGGGCTGCGCCCTGAGCACAGCAGGCCCACTCGTGCAGCGCAGCCCGGCCCACAGCTGCCACCACAGCGAGCTCAAAGTGCATGATAAAGCCCGCCGCAAGCCGGGCGGTTGGCTTTATTCTCAGGTGTCCTGCCATATCTTTCCTCAAGCCAAATAAATGCTTTGGCTGCACGCAGCATGGAAGTGCAGAGTCAGAGACCAGAGCTAAACTTTGTTATCTTAACAGGCTTCCCACCTGGTGTATATGTGATGTGGTCATTTGTCACACAGTACTGGGAGTAAGAATATAGCCGTGGGTAGTCTGCAGTGTTCCTGTCAGTCTCCCTTTTTTTTTTTTTTTTAAAAAAAAAAAAAGACTAGAAAACTTATCTGGAAAGAAGTCTCACAGCAAATATTTTACTTACTGCTGATCTCTGCCAGTGTTTTTCAATGATTTTTTTTTTCCTCCAATAGTGATGGGGAATGATGACAGCAAAGTGAGCCTACTTGGTCAACATAGGCTGCCACTTTGAGCCCAAACTTGGAAACCTTCCCCAAGTTTTCAGAGTCTGCCACCCACGCAGGATTAAACCCCAAATCCAGGAAATTCTCCTTTCTTTTCATTTCTGCACAACATTTCCTCCAAAAAGTCCCTCGGGAATACAGACGTGTACTCACTGGATTTAATGGGAAATTTAAAATTCAATTAATTCAGTGCATACGGTTTGCTTTTAAATACATATATCATTAAAGACGCAGTATGAGTTAGATGAAATTACTCCAACTCATTTCTGGTGGGAAGCTTCCTATTTCATTACAGACTTTCTCCCTAGCATGGAAAAACGTTGCTAAGGTGCTGCTCATCACCCAAGTTCAAAGGGATTCACCGCTGGAGAAAGCCAACTTTTACTTTGCATACGTCAAAAATGAAAGGGACAAAAGTTCTCTCATCCTGTAGACTTCCCCTCAGAAGAACGGCCCACTTTCCAAAAAGTTCCTGTTCCCCAAAGCATTCATTATTTCTTATGCTTAAGCTCCTATTTTAAGGGTGTGCTTTGATAGCAAAGCTCTGGGAGCGCATGTATTTTTTTGCCTGGGTTTGTTAATGAAGAATGACACTAAATGGTTGTGTGATGGGTAATGCTTAGTTCATTACTCACTGCCATGTGCCTTGATACCATCAACTCCACAACCAAATTTAGCCCTGCTATAAGCAGATGGAGCTTCGCTGGGCTCAGCGGGCTGAGCGTGCATCTGCAGACGGAGAAGTTGAAGAGGATCACCCCGCAAGAAGAGGTTCCCTCCCACACCCCGGACAGGGGGGGGACGGCCCCGCACGGTTCGGCTCAGGGCCACCGCCCCTCCCAGGTTCCCTCAGCCCCTCCTGGCAGAGCCAGACGACGGGGGTACCCCCCAACCCCGCTCCCTCCCGGCAGGGCCGAGTCCCCATACCCCGTCCCCGGACTGCGGAGGAGGGCTGCTACTTACTTGGGGTTGGAGGAATTCCAATAGATGGGGTCTAAAACGATGGACTTGGCCAGCGCAGTTCTCCATAAAACCATGAGGGCTCCCCAGCAGTACTTGCAGGCGGAGGCGTCGCGCCGCCGCGCTGCCATGGTGCCGACGGGCGGCCCCGAGTCCCCCGCCCGGCTCCCCCGCACCTGGCGGCGGGGGCTGCCGCTGTCCCCGGCCGCCGGGACGGGGCGAAAAGGCGAAAAAGACGCGCTGCGGCGGTTTGTCGGAGGCTGGGCGAGAATCGGCACCGATCTACTGAGTCATGTATGCCAGGCGCGTGTGGGCACTCCTTCCGCGGGGTAAAGATCCAGGCCACCTCCGGAGCGACGACGGCAGGAACGAGCAGCACCTCAGTCCTTCCTCCTGCTCGGGATTCCCCGACTGCCTCGGAAGATGCCACTCACACTGCCAACTCCCATTTGGATCCAGTGCGCCGTACACATTCACAGTGTCTAAGGCTCGCGTGAAACGGAGTAGAAATAATAATAATACTAAAAACAATAATAAAAAAGCGGTGGGAGAAATCAAGAGGTTAGAGCAGTGCCACGACTGAGGCTCCTCCCGCAGATCTCTCTCAGCACTCCCCGCAGCGTGAGGTCCACACGGGTACCGGCCCGCGCTGCTCCGGGCGGCTCGGACGCAGCCGCGAGTCCATAAATCCACTCCTGGAGACGGCACCCGTGCTGCCGGGCAGGCGTATCCGCAACGCTCCGACCCCCGGGGGCTCCGCTGCTGTCCTTGGCGCCAGCACGGACCCCAGAGCAGGGCAAAGGACGATAGCAATAATTAAAAAACAACAAAAAATAATTAGAAGAAGAGGGGGTCGCGGCGTCAAAACCTCCTTTTCTCTCTCCCTTCCCCAAGATCCGCAGTGCGCGCCGCGGCGGCGAGAGGAGGAGAGCCGTACGCGTAGCTCAGCGCGGAGAAGGTGGAAAAGAAGAAGAAGCGGCGCCCGCCGCCGCCGTTACCACCGCGGCGCCTTCAGCCGCGCCGCCGCCGCTGCGAGCGCTCCACTGCCACCGCGGCGAAGTCCCCGGCGCAGGAGCGCGGCCGGCGGCACAGCGCCGCCGTAGCCATATAAGCGCGGCCCCGCCGCCCCGTCGCCGCCGCTCATAGGGCCGCCGCCGGGCCGCCGCGCTGGTTGGGCGCCGCGCGTGTCACTTAGCGGCGGGGCCGCGGCGGGCGGGGCCGCGACGGGCCGGGCTCAGCGGGCAGGTAACACCCCCCGGCCCAGCGGGCGGCCGACGGGGAAGGGGAGTAGCCGAGAAGCGAAAAAAAGAGCTTAAAAAAAAAAAAAAAAAAAGCAAGCACTAAAACTCATTGCTAAAATTGAGCGCTTTGGAAGCACGCGTCTGTCTGGAGCCGGGGATGGGACAGGGGCTCTCCTTGTCCGCTGCCGGCCGCCCGCTCCCACACGTGGGCTTCCCAAGTCTCTCCGGTTGCGCGGCGACCCGGCGGCCCGGCACTCAGTGGGAAAGGGGCCGGAACCGGAGGAACCGGCGGTGACATTCAGAGCTCCGCGCCGGGTTCATGCCCCCGCTATTTCATGCCCGCCGCTTTCTGCCCTTCCACACTGACGGACTGCATTTTCGGATCCGACTTTTTTCAGCCTCTCGCACATCCCACTAGGCCCTGTTATCTCATGTCACCATTCACTTTACTGATTTTTAAGCCCGGACAGCGCTGGATGCACTCGCCCGGTGGCGGCGGGGGACCTACGGAGGGACACCGCCGCTGCCCTGGCTGCGTCCCTGCCTCTCTCGACCCGGCGCCGCTTGCACGGCCCCACAGCTCCCACTAGCGGCAATAGGCGGCCCCTCGGCTGCGCCCCTCGGCCGTGCCCTGGCCGCGAGCCCACGCGGTTCCCCCCGAAAGGAGCCGCGAACTGCGGGTGGCGGTCTCCCATCTAAGCTGAAACCGAATGGACTGCGTTCAGAGCCGCGCGGCGGTGAATAGCCGCTAAGTAGAAGGCCAGAGGGGTTGCAGAATTTCTTCCGGCAGGGATTTCATGCCAAAACAGTATCTACAGAAAGGCTTAAAAGTTAAATCCCAGAAAATAGCGGCGCCGCTCCCTCAGTCGTTTCCCTACCGTTTAGTTCAAGTGAGCAAAGAGTGCGCGACAAAGGACTGCAAATAAAGAACCAAATTCGTGTAGTTTTATTCTCAGAGGAAAATCGGCATTCATTTAAAAATCGGCGGGCGAACGTCGCGCAGACGGGCAGGGAGAACGGCTGCAGTTTGCTTTTCGCACCAAACATCGAACGCGTTCTAAGTAAACTGCTTAATTCAATTTGAATTCGCAGGCGGGACGGAATTGCAGAGCCGGAGACGCGCTTTGGTGGGAAAAAGATCCGCTCCCCAGGGCTTAGCGCCCGAGTGGGAGGCACAGATTGCGCGTCGGGGGCCGCCGCGGAGCGAAGCGCTTCGTTACCCGACTGTGAGCAAACGCGCGGCGCGGAGCCCGGCGGGAACCAAGGTAAACACGGAGCCCGATGGTCGCTCCCAACACCACCGAGGTGTAAAGTGGGTTTGCTTCGATTTTGTCACGCTGCTGCTTCTGTTTGTTTGGAAGCAAAAGGTGATGGGCGGTGTTTTGTGAAAGCTGCGAGTAAACGGTGACCTCTAACTCGCCGTATCCTTCCCGTAAGTAAACCGGAGGAAATGAAGAGCGCTGGTATTGTCTGAAAATATCCTCCTGCGGCTAAATATATCACTTGACTCCTATTGTCCAGAGGCTAATCATTCTGCGTAAATACAGCTGTTTTCGTCCTCACCGTGCTCGCTATAACCCACAATAACAAAACCATCTTGACTTGGGAACCCGGCGAAAAATGGGAACTTATTTCTGGGATATCCTAAGCAGAAACGGTTAAAAAACCCAAAGCGACGCGGCTTCGGGTCCTACCAGCGGGGCCGAGCTGCGGGTCGGAGCAGGGGAGTGGGAAGCGGGCGGTGCTCGGCTGCCGAGGGCCCGGCGCTCTGCTCCCCGCGGCCCCGCTGCTTCCAAGGGCATAGTCTCGGACAAGGAGACGTGGGAATACGAGACGGGAAGGGGATAAAATAATAACTGAAAAATAAATTATAAGGAGGCTTTTTTTTTTTTTTTTTTTTTTTATTTAACGCGGGAGGTGATTTCAGAAGTCGAGGAGAAGCGCATTTTGGGATTCGCGGGGAATGTGGTTTCCTGACAGACTAACTAGAAAGGGACAGGCTTTGGGGGGAGGAAATCCTGTCGGCGCCTTGGGGAGCGATGCCCCACATCCCCTCTAAACCCCAACTGCCCATGCCGGTCGGTAGGACGCCGCGGTCAAGGACCGATAGGCGAGCAAGTGAGAGCCGCCGAGTGTGGGTGACCTTCAGGGAAAAAGTAACGATAAAAATCAGGGCTCTGTTGTTTGCACTGCTTAAACCTCTATTTCCTTTAGTTCAGCCAGCCTAACGGAAAAGTCGGGTTTATCCCGGAATAATTTGTTTTGGCTTCTTTTTGGCACTGAGGAGGGCGATGCATAAATATTTGCCCTAATCCTAAGAAATCTGTGACAAAATTTGCAGCTAATTTGAACCGGAGCAAGATTGGGCCCGTACCCTGCATTCGCTTTTTTAAGCACATATCAGAAATAACAGCTCATCATTTCCCTGCCTGCAGCAGGGGGATTGAAACTAGATGATCATTACAGTCCTTTTCAACCCAGGCCATTCTGTGATTCTATGAAATAAGAATACAGGGGGCAAGAAAATTTTAATGGAAATTTTGAAATCTTGCTTTTCCACAAAAGCCCACCCTCATTTGTAATTACTCAAAAAATTACCAAAAGAAAAGTGGAAAAGATCTAACAAGTATTGCCACATTTAATAGAGATAAATGATTGGGCCATTGCTGCTTCTTCAAAGCTATTTAAACACAGCGTTTATTGGTTGTACAAAAGGCCAAGTGTGCTAGATACTTGAAGAAGCTCCTAAAATACCATTAACACCATAACAGTGTATCTTCTGTATTTATGGTAGAGTTAATGCACATCCAGATGTTTCAGTACTTCTCTATGCCTGTTTTATAACTGCAATTTTGGTTAACCATAGCTTTTTAGAAAATGAGCTTGGCTCTTCCTAAATATAGCCATAGAATTGACGCAGCCTTGTAATAAAAATCGGAAAAGAGCGTGGTATGTTCTAACCATGCGCTTCAGTTCTCTGATTTATTTTTATATGGACCCTCACTGCCATTTAGTGAAAGTAAGAATTCTTATTTATTTGTGGTCCATAGAGAGACAGGGTGGGAAAGAAACAGGGACTAAACCTTTACTACGCTACTCCTCTTTTTGTAAGGGTTTATGTTTCCCTTTCCACAGCTGACCACTGAGCCAACACAGCCTAAATGTCAGTGCAGGAAAGATGATAGGAAACATTAGCTTGTTTAGTATGGAAATGTCAGGAGAGATGCAGTACTCCCCAACTGGCTAACGAAGCGATGGGATGGCAAGAGAGAGAATACCCCTGACATGCATGCATTTGGTGGCACTAGCATGAAAATGAAACAGCGATGTGTGAAAAAATCATGATTCAGCTCCACTCAGTTCACTCATGGTCCAAAACTATTCGAGCCTGGGCACTGCTACCATGTATGTATTGGAAAGTCTTTGGCAATAGAAAATCACCTGTGCAGTGCAAACTGAACAGTATTTATCAAACCTGAATTTGACTTGAACTTGCACTTAAGTCAAGACTCTACAAGAGCACGGCTAATCATTTCACTGCTGCTTGCCAAAGTACACAGCCCCAAATACTCTGAGAACACTTAACAAGACGTTTTGTGCAGTTGGAAGCGAATCACAAACAACTCTGAGAGCAGATCTCTCCACATTTGGGGTACACTTAAAGAGCAGCAGAGAAATACTCAGAGAGCACATTAACAGCATCAGAAAGACAGGTGTACGATCCTCCAGACAGCAAAGATGTACACTTCTGTTTTAAAACAAGAGAATGGGCGAAATATTGATACTTTAAGCTAATACTGGCATATTTTCCTATACGCAGTATGCAGTCAGCAGCTTGAGAGGTATGAGCAACTCAAATCTCTGACTTGTGAAGCTTCTAGGACTCCAGCTCTCCAGTACATCTCATAGCACTCAGCCTTCCACGTTTTTAGAAAAATAATAATAAATGAACACGGGAAGCCCAATGGGCAGTTTAACCTCCAAAGCAACTTCTTTCCGCTATGAAATAGAGCATGGACTATGATACCTTCTGCTGTTTCCTGCATCTGCCAGAAGGATACATTGCCTGATATTAAAATAATTCTCCAGGACCTTTATGATGGTAGGTGAAAAAAAAGTAAAATCTCCCCTAGAATCAAGTATGGAAAATGAATACTGCTCAAGGCAGCAACTACTGAAAATGGCTTACTTGCCTCCCTGGAGATGAGAAGGAAAAAAAAAAAAAACACACACACACAAAAAAAAAAAAAAAAAAAAAAAAAAAAAAAAAAAAAAAAAAAAAAAACCACACAACAAAGCTGCTCTAGTAGCCAAAAAATGGAAGTTTAAACTCCAAACTGTAATATAACAACAAATAATCACCTGATACAATTTCTAGCAGCAACTTCAGCAAGTTTTCCAGGTAAGTTAATATCTTAATGCAGACTGACACCCACTCAGGTTAATCATTAGCTAAATATGAGTCTGCATATTAACAGACTTTATATCAGATGTGTATCAAAGGAAAACAAATATATCTGAAGTTCTTATCAAATGTCAATTTAACCATCCCCAAACTGCACCCCTCATATTTCCCTAGAAATCAAAAGCAGCCCTGAAGTCCTACAGTAACTAAAAAACAAAAACGAACACCCTCACCAGAACAACGCAAATATGTAGCTTATCTGTGCCACGTCTACAGGACACTAACACCTAAAACATTTCCCACCACCTGTACTTCTGTCCACCCCCCAAAACTATCTGTTTGTACTTTTTTTTTTTTTTTTTTTTTTTTAGTTGAGTACAAAGAAACACAGGTAGGAAGTTGTGGAATGGATTAGTTCTAACTAAAACATTTTGTCCACACAGTAGTCCTAGAAGTGTGAACAGAAATAACCTTTCAAAGTTTAAGTCTACATGATTTTAAGCAAAAAGAACAAATACTACTTTTTAATGGAAAACCATAGACTTAGAACAAAAATTCCTAACAGCACAGCTGCACGTATAACAATGTAGCTTCTTGCTTTTAGAAGAGGAAACAAAAATGCATAGGTCTGTTTGAGTATCCACTTTTAATAGCTTGTTTCTCTTAAGGGAACAGGGGTTGTTTTGTTTTAGAAATACAGGTATCAGTTGAGCTTTAAATACAGCCTGCTCCTGCCAACAGGTCACGTACATGATTTATTTGGTTTCAGCCTTTGTCTTTATGCATTAAGAAACCTTCAACCTCCTTTTGTAATACAATATATAGAGACAAATTTAAGTACAGTTAAAGTGTAGATATTTTACTGTCTTTGCATTTTTCTTGACATAGTGGACAAAGCAATACACATCCATCTGCCCCCAAGCCCAGGTTTCATACAAAGCATGTTGAATGCTGCTGTCAGTGACACACTCAACTTGCTTTACATTTCATTTGGCAAGTCTACAGAAACAGATCCGTAGAGAATATCAGGAATTATTTCCACCTTTATCCAGCAATGCACAAATGCAGGCAACTACTGATTTCTTTCATTTTATGTATACTACAGATGTTGCATACTGGTAGGAGAGAAGTTTCAGAGGTGGACAAGCTATAGTAATTCAGGTTCTGGTAGAAGACTTGTATACAAAAAGGGGATTTTTTAATATAATTTTCAATCTATTGTTTCATTTTTCAAAATACTGGATAACATTCAAGATCTTGTATATGAGCTTGCATTTGCAGTCTGCTAAAACAATTTATTTAAACAGAATCTTGGTTTCCGCTTTCCTTTTGGGGAAAAAAACCTTCAATTTCTAAATCCTTTAGGATCTGATTCATTATACGGTAATGATATTAACTTATAGCAGTATACTATATTATGAGGTAAACTGAAGGGGATTCAATATTCAGGTATTGGTGTAGGTGCAGTAAGCCATACAGCTGTTTAAACATGATAATACAGCTGAAATAAGTATCTGTCAGAAGGAAGAAACACAACAAAACCAACGTTCATGAAAACAGCAGCAGCCATCAAAAACATTCACAACTGCAGGGATTTTTTTACTGTGTGTAATTTTGCACTGTAAGTAGGAGAAGCCACAATAGTTTAAAGCAAAATTAAAAATATACCACTATAGTCTTGCATTTAATAACGTGAATTGTCATTCTTATAGCTGTTTATAGAAGTGTACTAAAAAAATTTACTTAAACATATGAATTTAAGACTTTCACTTTATTCAGCAAATTGGTTTATTTACACAATGGGAACGCTGGTTGAATGCTGTCAATGTAATAAAAACAAATCTAACAGAGACAATACTGAACTCTCCCTATGTATTCATAGCAGAAATGACAAACTATTTCCTTACCTGTATCAGGAACATCAAGCGCAACAATGGGACAGTATCATAGGACACTGATTTAACAATAAGCCACAGAGGTCAAGTAATACCATGGCAATTTACTCTTGTATTCACTGACTTTTAAAAAAAATAATTAAGAGTCAGCAATACCCAGTATAAAGTTCTGTCAATTATCAGAGTCAAACTCTGATCAGTAGGTCCGTAAAACCTTATCAGATCATTCGCAATTCACAGTGACCTGATGTGCTTCAGACCACTAATACAGAAACAAACCTATGAGAACAGTTCTCTAAAAGGCAACAATGATCTGATAAGGGTTTACCTTAATGGAGTTTTTTAAAAAAAATTAAGAATTGCAGAGCACAGCCCCTATTAGAACAAGCTAACTTTCCAGATTTTCAAAAAAAAAAAAAAAAAGACAAAAAAAATTGAGAGAAAAAAAACAAACACTTCAACATGAAGCTACCATACAAAGTTTTTTTGTTGGTGGTGTTTTTTTGTTGTTGTTTTGTCTTTTTAAATGTTTTTTTTTTCTTCTTGTAAGAGTTCAGAGTAGCATTTTAATCTTGGCTCTTTAGTGAGAAGGACAGTTTTGGCCTAGACTTTCCTTTGCCCAAGATAATTTTTTGCTCTTCCTTTTGCTGACGTTGCCTCTCTTGTTCTAGTTTCATCCTCTCCTCATGAATCTTTCTTTGTTCTTCAACAATTTTCAATTGTTCTTCAGCCTATGTATGAAAATGGCAGAATTTAGGCCAACATATTTAGCAGTCATAAAAGCAATTTAAAAGCCTGCAACCAATTCCACATATTGGTGCAAGCACCTACCTGAGCTAGATGCCAGTCAGTTTCAACGAACTATTTAAAAAATGGTGACATTAAACAAACGCAGAAGAGCCAAAACCTTTTTTTTAAAAACAGATTTACAGCTAACATATCAGAATCTTGAATGCTTACTCAAAATATTTTTCAGCACTGTTTTGCAAACAATGTATTACATGTTAATTAAGGAAGTCAGTGTATAGAGAAATTTGCTTGACACGTCACATCAGATAAAGTATATAATGAAATGATAATAATGGAACGTTGAGACCTTCAAAAAAGATCTCCCACCTCCAAGGCCCTCCTAATTCAAAGCAATTTCTATTTTAACAGACTTTTAACAAGTCTGTCCTTACACTGACTTACAATCCTTACAACTCTTCCTATAGTCTCCTAAGAGGTGCTTATTTTGTTCATTGCACCATTTAACAACTTAAATTTTATCATGAGGTGATTAGAAACAGCTAAGCTACTCTGAACATTATCACGAGGCAAGCACTCGTTTAAAATCAGTTTGCATATCAACATAATTGACTTTTATAACTTTCAAGTCTTAAACTTCTACTCAAAGTCCCGCTCAACAACTGTGTATCAATATTATAAAAGTCTCAAATCCAGTTTACACCTGTCCCGCTCAGTGAGAAAAACTAAGTCATTTCTTTTGCAAGTGGAACGTCTTTGCTAACTTACTTCATCCTTTCCTGTGAGATACAAAAACATTTTTAATTCTAGAGGTAGCAATTCTGCTCCAAATTAACAAAGCACTAGAGCAATTTTGTCAGACTCCTGCTACTGCTAAAAATCTGGTTAGTTATGCTTCAGGGAAGGAGAGCAACGGTACTGCTGACATAACCAGCAACAGGCAAGTTAAATTCTAAAAAGCATGGATTTGCTTATTTTAATACTGTTGCAAATCAGGCAGAGGGACCTGTATTCCCCTACAAAACTGTTAACTACATCTTTACATACCAGTTTAGCTTGTGCTTCCGCAATTTTTCGATTATTCTCTTCTAGTATTCGCTCTAGTTCCTCACGCTTTGCACGCTCTTCTTCCTAAAGGGGAGGACAGGGTAAGATGTTAGTAAAGTAAAACATTCATCTCTGCACTTTCACTAATCTTTCTCAGAATTCTTTTGTGAACTGACTTAAAAGTGGTAGCTTTACAGCCACCTATTTTGTCTCACAACGGTAAATTGTGCAGCCACTAAAAATCGGTCTCATCTCTAATACTAAATTTATATCATCCCGCCCAGTCCAAACAGCAACCAACTAAACCCTCCCTAATCACAGAATCCTGACAATTTATTACTACAACTTTAATATCACACAAATCAACAAGGACAACTACAAAAACTGGAAAGTATTTACCAAATTAAAAGTAATATATAAAATATAAATAAAGTGAATAGTTTGTCTCACCAATTAAGTATACCTACGTATTCTTTACCTATACTCCTTTAATCAGCATTAAAAGTTGAATATTTACTGTCTTGTCCAGTGTCCTGCAGAGTGTGCTCCTCGGCTGCCATACGCGCCAGCTTCCTCTTTAAAATGATTTGTACTGTTAGCTTGGCAATACCTGCATCAGCAGCTCAACCATTTATAAAGAAACAACATACAAGGAAGGCTGAGCTGAGGAATGCAGATGTTTATGATAGGAAGGAACAAAAATATGTAAATCATTCCTAAGGCAAACAATTAATAAGAAAAATACATTTACTGTTAGTGGAAAATACAAATGGTAATCCAATACTTCGTGGAGCTATGGGCTTCCTTCATAGGGAGAATGGACTTTACATTCAGTATTTTGACAATTTTAAGACAGTTGAAACTGTCATTAGCAGTCTGAACTTGGAATTCTGGAATCCAGGGAAGGCAAGATCAGGAAATAAAGCCTTGTAACTGTTGTTTTCTTGGTGAATTTTATGGAACTCTGTTATGCAACCCATAAATATGAAGACTGCGTGAAAGATTTTGAGGTGTTTCAGTTCACATAATATATATTCAAATTATTTTAATATTTGGAAGACTTAAAGTAAGCCAGAGGTTTGTGTCTGTGTAAGAAAAAAAAGTTAATATGAACAAAGCAAGCACACGAAGAGAAAACTTCTTACTATGACTAGTAACCAGCTACTAGCTAGCACACTCCACTCCAGGCATAGACGTTTATTCTGCACTGCAAAGAACTGACGGGGCTTCTCTGCATCACGTTGAATGTAACAAAAATACTTTTTAAAAAAGTCATAAATACGATTAAATAAAAACCTGTACAAAGCATTTGCTGAGCATACACATCTAAATTCAACTTCAATTCCTTTATAGGTAAGGTCTGGATTCACAGAACAAGTATAATTTAATATCCCTAGTACTTGTTATAACTCAGACTTTTTTTTTGTTTTAAATTTTAAAGATGCTTGTGACAGACAAGTCATATTTAGTATGAAGGTAAAGCTTCAACACCACTGCATTTCCTTTTTTAAGCCAATCAAAGTATTAATTTAAGATAAACAGTAAAGAAGGTGCAAAGGGAAAAAAGATTTGATACTCTTGACTGCTTAGCGCAAATTTTCTTCAAAATTTAAAATTTGTCCTAACATTTCTGGATCCTGGAATGATTGGTGCAGGCAGGCAAAGCCCTTAGTAGCAAATTACTGTCTCACAGAAAGACATTTTCAGCTTCTGCTCCAGCTGCTGATTCAAAAAAAAAAAAAAAAAAAAAAAAAAAACAACAAAAAAAAAACAACAAAAAAAAAAACCCAAGTCACATGTTCAGCTTGACTTGACTTCAGACAAGGGCAATCTGCTCTTTCATTAACTTCTAGGGAAAAAAGGAATTGTTAGTAGTTATTAAAAGTGGATATAATGATTTGGACATAGATCCTTCATGAAGACGTGGATGGGCTTATGCTCCAAGTCCCAGCATTAGTCCAATGTACGCTCAAAGAAAATGTCTCAAAAGAAGAGTAAGAAACCTATTTGTTAAAGACAGGTACTGCAGCTCAGTGCTGGACCCTGCTCTTTGCCTGACTGAAGGCAAAAGCCTCTTACAGTCTAGGTAAACAAAATGAAACAAATGAAGGATACACAATTACAGATTTTTTTAATACCCTTCCCCAGAAAAGAAAGGACCGTTGATAAATCCTGCAGCCATGGCAAAAGTTTCAAACAATACTGAAATATGTAGGTCAGTTCCATTAAAAATCAAGTATCCTTGTTCAGGTTTTAGGAGAATAACTGTTTAAGTATCAGTGAGCTCCTCTGAATAGGCTAAAAATTAAGTTTCGCAGCAATGCAAGTTTATACGAGAAGGGAATTAGATTTGTTGCATTCCATCTCTTTCTGAACCGAACAGGAGGCACAAACCGACACTGAAAGTTTTGCCATGGACTGTCTCTACTTTCCAAACGACCGAGCGTTACCTCTCTGGCTTTTTGTGCTGCAAGTTCAGCTTGTCGCTGTCGCTCGAGTTCTTCGAGCAACTGTTTTTCCATGATGCGCTTAGCCTCCTCCACCCTGCGGAGAACCTCCCGCTCAATCTCATCCTTCCGTTTCTCCAACTCTTCTTCCACTCTTTTAGCCACAAGCTCTTCCACTCTTCGAGCAGTTTCTTCCTCTATGAGTTTCTCTTCGATTTCTTGTTGACGACTAGAAAATGCAAATGTGAAGATAAACTTTAAAATCAATAAAAATGGTTGCACCAATTCATACATACACAGCACCAACCACACTACTGAATCAACTTTTAATAGTTTTATGCTATACACACAGCTATGTGTATAGGCCAGATATTTCAATAATTTCAACATTGAATGCACCTACATTACATTCAGTGCACCTACATTGAAAGGTGCATTGAAATGAACATTCAGGCAACCATAAGGACTGTTAAGACCACATCATAGTTAGCAGCTCTTTGTATCTCAAGACATTAAGCTTCTCTCAGTTTAATCAAGTACTTCTTAACGCAAAAAAGCATCATTTCACACAAAAAAAAAAAAAAAAAAAAACACCTCTCATCAAAGCTTTGTCATCCTTCACCCTTAGTTTTATACAAAGTAAGGCAATCCGACCCTGGGAAGACTTGTCTCCAAACCACTATCAAACAAAACAGACTAGTTTGGCACCAAACTAAACAGAAGCAATACAAGCTATAAATCTAATATTTTAGTAAGAATTTATGGTGTTTAACACCAATTTAACATGAAATTCAACACCAATAACATCACCATTTAACATCAAATTTCAAATTCTTTAGCTCTCCTTTGCTTCCCACCATAACTGTCAAAAATACAGTATGCCAAATACGGCCCCACCTGAGGTACTGCATCCAAGCCTGAGCCTGCAGCACAAGAAAGACACGGAGCTCATTGAATGGGTCCAGAGAAGGACCGCTAAGATGATCAGAGGGCTGGAGCACCTCTCCTGTGGGGAAAGGTTGAAGGAACTGAGCTTGTTTAGCTTGGAGAAGAGAAGACTCCGGGGAGACCTCACTGCGGCCTTCCAATACTTGAAAGGAACGTATAAACAGGAGGAGGAACATAAGTTCACAAGGGTGGATAGAGATAGGACAAGGGGGAGTGGTCTTAAACTGAGGCAGGAGAGGTTTAGGTTAGATATTAGGAGGAAGTTGTTCACCCAGAGAGTGGTGGGTGACACACTGGAACAGGTTGTCCAAGGAGGTTGTGGATGCTCCATCCCTGGAGGCATCCAAGGCCAGGCTGGATGTGGCTCTGGGTAGCCTGGTCTGGAGGCCGGTGACCCTGTACATAGCAGGGGGTTGAAACTAGATGATCATTGTGGTCCTTTTCAACTCAGGTAATTCTATGAAATAAATTCTTATAGCTGTTACAGATTTTTGGAAGTATTTTCAAATGTCACCTTTTACTTCTGTTTGGAGGCAGCATTACTACTTAGCCTGAACAGTATTTAAGTTTTCATTAAAAAAAGTTAAAAAAAAAAACAAAAAAACAAAACAAAAACATCAAAATGATTAAGTCAATTCCCAGGTTTATTACCAAATGATGATAGAAAACCTAGGTAGTAACCAATTGCGTATGATAATTAGATACCCAAGAGTTAACTACACTATTTTTTTTTGTTCTAATACACAGTGAATATTGTATAGCCATACTTTATACAGTGTTATTTCTTTAGGATTCTTACAGTCTTTAAGAAAAGGCTGGTTTTTTTTTGTGTGTGTTTTTTTTTTTGTGTGTGTGTGTGTTTTTTTTTTGTTTGTTTGTTTGTTTGTTTTTACCTTGAAACTGAACTTCCATTTTAAGTACTCCATGTAAAAAAACACACAAACTTATCTTCTGGTCTGACAGCACCAGAAAGCCATCGTTCAGAATAACATCAAATTGTTTTAACATTGTAATACACTCTAATTTTTGTAATGCTAACATTTTCCTACCTTATTTATTCACGGAATATCTAGAGTTGGAAGGGACTCATAAGGACCATGAGGACCAACTCCTAACTTCACACAGGATCACCCAAAACCTGAGGCACACAAAATTGTAATCTAGATACTCATCTAAAATATCAAGTTCAAAAGCAACCAGATTCCCCTGGCTCATGTATCCTCTTAGCGAAAGTATTCTGAATGAAGTATATTAAAAAGTTCAGGAAACTCTAACTTAGACATTCAGACCCAGAATACAAGATTTCTACTTCCTTTTTTCCAGTGACAAATCAGGTCAGCATTAGCTTTTTCAAAAGCAGTACAAAATTTCACGAGGTGATTTATTTTAAAAAAATAAATAAATAAACGGAAAAAAAAAACAAACAAAACTCTGCATAAATATACAGAAAAATGCACCAACACCATTTTGTTAATACTTCTACTCCAACTTACGGTCCCTTTTTCTTGGATAAAAGTTGGAGAAAGGCTCAAAAGTTTCACTTTTTTTTTTTTTTAAATACTCTTTACATACTAAATAATGCTTTATTTTTTCAAACTTTCATTCCCTCTTTGGACTATTCTTTCCATAATGAATCTTATAACAACACACAAGAGGCTCTATTCTACAGAAATTCATTTTTCAGAAAGCTCACATTCAAGTGCTTTATTCAACTATTTTAGCTTTACTTTTAATGTTAGGGAAATCTACAATGAAAGTTACCTAACTGAATAAAGACAGTATACAGCTATAGGAAAACCCCCCGATTCATGCCTGAAACAAGTTTTCAAATGTCCTCAGAAACTGATGATGTACACAAACACCATACACACATTTTATCCTTATCGCCTCTACAGATCCCATTTGTATTCCATTAAGCTAACTAAGCAAATACATCTTCTCACATAGGCATCTTTCCATAAGCACAGGCATAATAGTGTTATACATTTATAATAATTGTTCTGTATACGTGACCAGATTTCTTCAAACACTGGAAGCAGAAAGAAGTAAAGCAGAATAAAGTCAAAATTTATTCTCACCATTTGTTTAGTAGGAGACTGCCTTGTGTCTACTGATAATTATATCCAATCATTGATTGGATATCTCAGGGAAGGCGAATTAAAAACACGGATGTAAACCTCAATCTAGTTGACATCAACTATTTTTTTTTTTTTAATCACAAGTGCTTATAGTATTTTACATACAGATGTCACTCTGAGCAATAACTCCACATAAACAGAAAAGTCATTCAAGTGAAAATAATTTTAGTATCTTCCATTTATTTCCTGAAGACCAGTTCTAGCAAATATGCAAAATATGCTTAGCAATAGACAGACTTCTAAGGGTGGGGGGAGAGGCAGAGAGACAACCCACCAATTATACATGGCTGCCATTTTTTTTGTTAAATAGAAATCTGGAATGATATTAAAAGCAAAAGTCATGGTACGTATTAAGATTTGAATAGACACAAAAAGTCATTTTCCACATATGATCTTTCCACTAGTTAATTCGGTCAGCAAGTATTTTTTCTTCCCAAACATGACTATGTAAAATACAAATTAGGGATGTCTTACACAAATAACATAGGTTTATGCCACGTTGACATTTACTGCTTGATCTTTTTGAAACATGAAGTGTGTTCTGGAAGCATCAACAGTCTAATATTTTCCAACACTTCTTCTTGCTCACAAGTTTATTATTCTGTTGTCTGTACCAACCAAACATCACATTCTTTCTACATGGAGTTCAGGAGTATCTTCAAATTATAAAGTTTCCTAACTCGCACAGATAACTTAGTGCAGGAAAAAAAAAGACTTGACATGCGTGTTGCTACATCAAATTTTACTTAATGAGCTACAGATTGGGCTGCTTTCAGTGAGTGTGATCCACACAAAAGTCAAATATTTTAAATATGTTTTTAAAAATATTATTAATACTTCATTTTCAACTACTTGAACTGATTCTCTCTTTCACCTTCTGAATTCTGGACACAGATTGACAGTAAACTTAATAACCAAGACTAACACTGTTTAATATTTTAAGTTAGACAGCATTTATTTTGTTATTTATTTAGTAGTCTTTGAAACTATTTAAATAATATTTTTAAAGCAATTTATTTAAAAGAACACATATGAAACAAGGTATGTCCATGAAATAAGGCGCATCTAAAGGAATACCAAGATATATTATTCACTGTATTCCCAAATAATTACGTGCATGCCAATTCTTCATTCCAGAGGTGCAGAAAATACCTGTTATTAACTTAGGTACCAAAGAAAATTCTGAACTGCAAAGGTAGGGTCAACAACTCAAAGAGCCCTTAACATTTCTACACGTCTGCATGACACCATTGCCAAATTCTGAAGTAAACGAAGATGAAAAAAAATTGAAGGTGACAACTCTGACCTTCTGAATTACAAAATAAGTTTCATCAGAACAACACAGTTGAACAGAAACCTAAAGCTTCAACTAAGAATTATCAGAACTTGCTGGCCTCACACGTACAAACAAATGCTACTTCAGTTGAGCCCTTTGACTACTGAGGGTAGCATCCAAAGCTGAATAACTTTAGCATAACTGCTACATCCCCTTGCTGAAGAAAGGCCTCTTTTCTAACTTAAGAAGGTTGCTAGACATCTTAAGATAATACAACGCTACTAAAATGAATCCTCTTTCTATCTGCAGACTCTACCTACACCTGCATTTCCCACAACAAAAACTTTAAAAGGAAGACCTTCATTTGAAGCAACTCTCCAGATTTCGCTCTCTCCCTTGTTGATACACAGTACAACAAAATCCAAAGTTACCATAGTGACTGCTCAGCATTTCTTCAGACCCAGAGATAGGCCACCCCGAATGCCTCCTCTCGACGCACAACAAGCGCCACGCCAAGGGGAGGGGCGCAGAGCGTGGCAGCGCAGCACAAAGCCTCCGGGCGCTGAGGCCTCACCGTAGGACGAAGTTTAAGAGCAGCGCAGCAGCACAACAGACAACATGTGTTGCTGGGAGACCGGGAGGCTGCGTGCAGCAGGCCCTGCTCGGAGCGGGAGGCCTCAACGCACCCGAGAGAACAAACCTTTCGGGAAGGATGGCGGGAAACAGGCAGCAGCAGGCCTCAGCAAGGCCTCAGCGCCTTCTTGCCAAGAACAGACGGCTCCAGCTTAGGGAAGGAAGGCACTGCAGCACGGACCATCCCCTTCCTTCCCTCATTCCCCCCCCCCCACCTCACACCCCGCAGCCCCCAGCCCAGGCCCGGCACTCACATTTTCCGTTGCCGCTCGAACTCTGCTTTTTTCTCCTCCTCCTCCCGCTTCTGCTTCTCGTCCAAGCTGCTGCGCTTGCTCACCGTGCGCCCGAAGATATCGATGCGGTCCGGCGGGGACGAGGCGCGCTCGCGTTCGCGCTCCCGATCGCGGCGGGAGGAGGGGGCCGTGTTGGAGCGGGAACGGGACCGGGACTCGCGGCGCCGGTTGCGTTTGCTCTCCCGTGACTTGGAGCGCTTCCGCGCCCGCTCTTTCTCCCGAGAACGGGACCGCGAGCGGCTCCGATTCTTCTTGTTGTGCTTTGAGCTCTTGGTGTGCTTGGAGCGGGACGAGCTCCGGCTGCGGGACCGACCCATCCCGGCCGAGAGGAAAGGCCGCGCCGGAGACCGCCCGGCTACTCCCGCCCCTTCTACTAGCGGCGCCCGAGGGAGAAGCGAGGAGACCCCGCACGCATCAGCACCGCCCGGCCTTGCGCCGCGTCCTCACTCTCTCTACCGCTTCACGCGACGAGGAGAACGAGCAGGCCCCGAGGACAGCAGCAGGTCCGGACGCAGACAAGATGGCGGCCCTAACGGAGCGGTGACTCTCTGCTTCCGCCCCACAATGCACCGCGCCGCGCTCTAGCCGTTTGCTCTCCCTCCCCTTCGCCCCCTTCTTCGGCTTTTTTTCCGGAGGTGTACGAAGCCGCTCGGGAATGCTCGGTAGCCAATGGCAGGCGTTGCTAGGAGGAGGAAACGCTGTCAAGCGGTGCTTTTTCTTGCGCAAGCGCACAGCCGCAGGGCTGGTTGTGAAGTCATCGGGGAGGGTAGGGCTGGCTCTCGTTTCTGGTAGCGTTGCTAGCTGCTTTACACATTCCTTTTATGAGGCTGGCAGCCCTGAGAGGAGTCGTTGAGCTGCACCGCTGTAGGGGATGGGGGGCGGCTGCCGTGGGTACCGGCTGCAAAACGCGGGGTGTGCTGAGCCGTGCCTGCGTGTACGGAGCGTTCTGCAGGTGTTGCCCCGGTGCCTCCCGCATGCCTGTAATGCTGCGCGCAGGCGGGTTTCCTTTCTGTGGCCTTCCTGGGAGCTGGGACATGCCTTGACAGCCCCTGCATCCATGGTGAGCTGCTCTGTAGCTGAGGAGTGGCTGTTTCCTCGTTAACCCAGGGTTTCGTCGATCCTTGATTTATAATTATTTATTACTTGTATTATTCCAAAGTAGGAGTCAGATGTCACGTCTTGCTACATGTTGAGGAAGTTGTAAAAGCCATTTAAATATCTCTTCCCCCTCAATAAAACTGTGAAAACTGGTCTTTCTGAGTCCTTGCTTGAATTGCATAGTTACTGGAATCTATTTCATTGTAGCTAAGCTCTACTATGTTACCAGTGAATGTCTGTTTTGACGTAAGTTCTCAATACTTCACCTGTAGACATTGTTGTCTTTCATTAACTGTGGGTATGTTGGTAAAAGTAGGTTCAAGTCAGATGGAAAATATGAACTGGTGACTCAGGTAGCATGGGTGTGTAAGGTTCCTTATCCTTGGTCTGCCAGGTAATTGTTAGTTTTTCCACCATAATAAAAGTTGCAACTGATGCTGTCCTTGGTTTCTGGTGAGCTGCAGGTAGATCAACCTCTTAACTTCTGGAGGAAGCCAGCTGCTCTGCATCTTTCAGAATTAAGGCTTTTTCCTAGTAGACCTGTTTTCATTTAGTAATTTCAAAAGTGTACTTTGCAGAACATTATTCATTGACTAGAGTCAAAAGAGTCTTCTTCTACTTCTCTTGTCTGACTGGCTTATTTTTGTCTTTTCCTTGAAGGAAGAGATTTGGGGATCTTAGTCAACAGCAAGTTGAACATGAGTTAGCAGCTTGCCCACGCAGCCAGGAAAACCAACAGTATCCTGGGCTGCCTCAAGTGTGTCACTGCTAGCCAATTGAGAGGAAGGATTCTTCCACTCTACTGTGCTAGTGCAGCTTCACCTTGAGTACTGCATGCAGTTCTGGGTTCCGCTTGGTGGCTACCAAGATGGTGAGGGGTCTAGAGGTGTGAGGAGTGGTTGGTGTTCCTTGGTTTATTCAGCCCAGAGTGGAGGAGCTGAGGGGAGACCTCATGGCAGCCTACAGTTCTTCACAAATGGGGGGCAGAGTGGCAGTGCTAATCTCTGCTCTCTGGTGGCAGTGATAGAACCTGAGGGAATGGCATGGAGCTGTCAGGGAGAGAATCGGGTTGGGTGTTAGCAAAAGGTTCTACACCAGAGGGTGATGGGCATGGAACAGGCTGCCCAGGACAGTGGGCACAGCCCCAAGCTGCTAGAGCGCTAGGGATGCTTGAACAGTGCTTTCAGTCACATGGACTGTGGGGTTTTGTTTGTTTGTTTGTTTATTTGTTTGTTTTGAGTGTTTCTACATGGAGTCAGGAGTTGGAATCAACGATCCTTATGGATCCAACTCAGGATATTCTATGGTTATGCGATTCTAATTTTGGAATTCAGGCTTTCTGCAGTTAGTACAGAAAATAAATAAAATTGAAACATCTTTCTGTCATGCCAGTGGGCAAGTAGCAACAGAGTAACAGATGGATACTGTGAAAGCTGAATGGCAAGGCAGGGATTTGTAGGGCCATAGACCTTGGGAGCATTTGCACATCTCTAGCCCTGGCATAGTTCATGCAGCAGGTTACTAAGGAACTTGACAATTGGATGTTTTAAATCAGGACCAGGCTTGTAAGTTTTCAACTAGTATAATTGCTATAATAACTTTGCTGTGTTCAAGTATTGGAACTTTTAAATTGATATGAAGCAATAGATTTTGGTTGGAAGTTCTGTTATAATTTTATTAATACTACACTGAGCACTGGATGTACTAGACCATACTTGGAATACTGAAAAAATTGAAAAGCCACTAATTGTTTTACCATTAGTTATGAGTTAAATACAAATTATTGTAAAGGTAATTGCCAAGAGCTTAGGTTTTTTTTTTTTGTTGTTTGTTTGTTTGTTTGTTTTGTTTTTTGTTTTTTTTTTTCCTTGGTATGGCTCTATTAGTAGCTTCTTTGCTTGGCTTCTTAGTTATTTGAAGAAATACAGATTTGAACTCCAGAATTCTATTCCTATTTAATAGCATTGATTATTTTTTTTTTCTTTTTCATAAGTATGAAATAAATACAATATCTTATCTGAACAGTTCATGATGTGTTTGCTTGGAGTTCAGAAATATATAATATGGTATAATAAAATAATTTCCCCAAATCACTGTTATATTTTTCCATCTTAGTCTTCATTTAAACTCCTGAGTTAGTAAGAACACAAGTATTTAAATACCTATACTAGAATAGTGTGGCTGGTGCGTTTACTTTCATATTTATAAAAACTAGCACTTCTGGGAGAAAAAAAAAAAAAAAGTCCAAGAACTATGCAGTGCTGTCAAGTTGGAAGACTATTTCTATCTGTGATTTCTGTTTTACTTTGAAGTTTGGTAGTTTTTTATCCTGTAATTTTCCATAGCTTAATAATAATAAAATATTACCACTTGGCGTTTTTTTCCCAGGTGTAGCTACAGTGGGTATGAAATTACAGTACATTGGAACATTTTTTTATGAATTCTAAACTTAAGAACTTTTTTTCATCAAGTATTTTCCTTTGTTGTATTAAGTTAACTTAGGAGTAAGATGATCATTTCCTTAGTCAATTCCCTTTCAAAACTTTCAATTTTTTTTAGTCAAATCTTGAAGTTTTATTCTGAATTAAATTGCTAGAATTCTTGAGGGCTTTTTTTTTTTTTTTTTTCCTTCCACTTGTAAACAGCAGTATTATTAATGGTTTTCAAGCCATGCTTGATTCCTATGAACCCTTGTGTTTTATCATTTTTCTGCATTTTAATATATTCAGTAGATTAAAGCACGCAATTTGCTTCTTAAAACAGTTGCCTTAGAGTTGGAAAGCACCTTATTTGGTATCCAAATGTTGGCATAATTAAAGCACCTCACCCTTCAGTAACGTGGCTACTATCATCACATGAAATCTCTCAACCTGTAGGCATTTGGCAGTAGCCCTGTGGAGAGAATCTGTATTATGATAATCTGCAGATTATATCTGCTCTCATGCCACCACTTCTGTAGTAGCTGGGTCAAAGGGAATCTTGGGAGATTGAAGGTGGATTAGTTTGGCTTGTGTTGAGAGTGTAGTACAGCTGGATATAAGATCTTTGTAATAGGTCAGAAGTGGAAGGATTCTGGAGGGTAAGTAGAGATAGAAAGCGGCAGAGCAGGATATAGTAGGATAAAGCATTTGGTGTATAATTTACTATGACCTGGCATAGCCTTGCTTCAGTAAGAGGACAGAATAAGCACAGAGGAGCTAAGGTTTTGTTTTTGGGGGGTGAACAACTGTTGAAATGTCATATCTTTCAAAGTAGCTATTTCAGCTTGGGTTTGTTACAAGGTCAGAACCTGTATTTGCAGGGTTTGTTTTTTAAGCGTGAGTCAGCACTGAGGTTCCTGCCACACTGTGGATTAGAAAAATTATGCAGATGTAGAGGTTGTATTGCTTAATTGCTTTTTTCACACCTGACGCCAAAGTGGCTTATTTTACTGAAGCATTTTCTGTCAGCAGCTTTGTTTCTTTTTAGTAACACTATGGAATTTGGAGCTGCTAAACTACAGAGGTGGGGAGATGAAGCATCTGGGAGGCTCGCAAAACATGAAGAGAGCATTGCAGGAGCATGGAACAGTTGGCAGAAAGGGAAGTAATCTTTTCTAAGGCTTGAGGGAACCAAATTAAAACTGTGGTTGCAAAGGGCTCCTTTGAAAAGGGAAAAATCTTTAACTGAAAGAAAGAGGAAGTGTTTTACAATGGGAAATTAAATAAATAGAAAGGGCTTTACATTGTATCTATACAAAAAGGCTGTGTAGATAATTAATATAAATATAGCTATTAGCTGAATATTCAGAAAAGAGGTATTTTAAATGATGATTGTATATTTGGAAAATGAGTGAGATGTGCAGGATACTTGAAAGTTTTTTGTAATTTGGACGTGGAAAAATGGCACAGCTGGAATAATCAGGACTAATATGTAGATTTATGACAATCAAATTAACACAAAATTGTATCTATCTTAATTTCCAACTAGATTAAATTTTAGAAAATAAATGAAATTACCAAATCATGATTGACATGGTAATTTTATTGTTAATGTCCAATGACAGTCCACTTAGCACTCTTGTAATATATGAGCTATCTCTCCATGGAAGAAAGGAAGAAGAATATTCACTTACTTGCTTTGCTCACATTGCCTAGTACATTTACCTACTAAATAAAAGTTCTTGAACACTATTAGAGGTGGTGAATGTAAGCTTTGATCACAACTCGAGGCACTGATCAGCAGAGTATGTATCCATATTCAGTTTTTCTCACAGTGAATATTTCTTAAAATCAATGTTACATAGAATATGCAGATTTAATATCACATATAAGTATTTATATTTGAACCTAAGGCATGGTTCACTGAAGACTGGCAGTAGTAAAAATCCAACCAGCCTTGTTCAGCAGCTGCATAACTGTGGAGATATTTCAGCTCCGTAGGCATATTCTGACTTATCTGAAAGATTTCATAGCATTTGCAGCATTTGGCATGTGTAAG